CAGAAATGAATAAAATAATAATACTAATAATAATAATAAATCACAGGAAAACGAATTCACCGTTTCGATAAATAGATTCAAGTATTGCAGGTTTAAAGCCAGGAGGCGACGCCTGCTTTACAGCCTTCCTACCGGCTCCTCCTTTAAGCTTCAGCTTTGCTACAAGCTCCACAAACACAACCCATACCCCCCCCGTTTGATTTAAATATGAGGCTAATAAAAGGCGTTTCTCAGGAGGAAATAAGACTCCATGCTGCATATGGTCTGGACCACCCCCCGCTGTCCGGTTAGGATTTGTTTAAATCAGTTTTTCCCAGCCCTGGTCCGCAGGGCTAACTGCCTAGCTAGCGATAGTTAGCTAGCGATAGTTAGCTAGCGATAGCTAGCCTGCTCCAGCACACCTGATTCTGATAAATGGGACTTTAGCAGCTTTCTGCATAGCTGAAAAAGTCATCGCCCTGGTTTCATCTCACTATGTGAAAACTTTAGTCTAGTGCCAAACTACGGGGCAAGGCACGCTAAACCAGAACACACGTATGAGAGGAAGGGAAAGAACTGGAATTGCTCCTTCTTATGTTTGTTATTATGTTGTCTTTGTTGTCTTGTGTTGTTTAGTTTTGAGTGACTTCATTTCAGATGCTCTTTGCACATAAAGTCCCAGATTCTGCATAGCTGAAAAGCCGTCCCATTTATTAGAATTGGGTGTGCTGGAGCAGGCTAACTATCGCTAGCTGACTATCGCTAGCTAGGCAGTGTGCCCTGAGGATCAGGGCTGGGAAACGCTGGTTTAGTTAAACCAGGGCTGGGAAACGCTGGTTTAGTTAAACCAGGGCTGGGAAACGCTGGTTTAGTTAATAGAGGACTGGAGCAGTTAGCATCCTGTTCTAGCCGTGGAGATAAATAAAGACGAGCAGATGTGTGTGGGATGCTTCACTCTGCCTCGGGTCTGGCTCCAGGGGGGGGGGCGGAGACCTGACTCCATCTTTCACATTTCTTTGGTCGACTCGTCCACAGGAGAAGACCCGGCCACCTCCCGTCTCCCAGCCTCCACCGAAAATAAAGACTAAAAAAAGCGACTCGTTTGGGTTGTTTGTTAGCAGAGGAGACGGGAGCCGGGGGGGCGGAGCTCCTCTGGGATCCTCCGGAGGGGGGGGTGCTGGGGGTTGGGGGGGCTCCTTCAGTCGCTCTCGCTGCCCGACTCGCTGAGCTGGAGGTCGTTCTCTGCCGGGTCACAAACCAGAGGAAAGTTTTAGGAGAACAGTACGTTCGAACAACAAAAAGAAGCTTTAGTTTATCAGTTAGCGTTAGAGTGAAGCTCTGGAACAGCTTGCCTGAAAACATGAAACAGTGTAAAAGCATCCAGGAATTAAAAAAAGAATAGAAGAAAAGTATTTTTGATGAATACAAAAAAAAGAGTAATATATAAAAAGTTTTACTGTTTGTCTTACTGTAAATAATTGGCCTTTACCACCATGGCACATGTGACTGAGGGGTGGGGCTTAATAAGCTTATGCTTCATCCTACTGCTTTTTCAAACATGATGCATGTTTATGAAACATTCAATGTAAACATTGTTAAATCATATCATGTTTTAAAATAAATTAAATGAAATTAAAATGAAAGAAGAACAGCCTCTTCTCAGAGGCTGGAGGGCTGAGCTGAATCCCCCTTTAGGGGGCCCCTGGTCCCTCATATGGGGGGGGGTAGTAAAGTGGTGAGTAGGCTGGTCCTGATCCGATATCTGGACCGGATCGGACGCCGATATTTGCAAAAAAAATACGTATTGGCCGGCAGGAGAAAATGCAGATCCATACTCCAGATTCAGGTTGTTTTTTTTAAGTACGAATAAAATAATCCATTCCACTTTTCTATGTTGTTCCCCGATATCCGGTCGGGTCATTTTAAAGCCAACCCTAAAGCATTAGCATTAGCATCTGTTGACCCACAGATCTGTGCCCTAACTGTTGAGCCATGTTAATGTGAAGCTATCTAAAAATGTCAGTTGTGTGGGATTATTTTATCCTTAAAGACGAAAAAGAGGAAGAGCTGGATGTAAAACAGAGTTCTGATGCTGAGTTAATAGACTATTAATACAGTTTTAATACAGTTTACAATATTATTTGCACTTTTTACTCTTCACTGGTGCCATTTCCGTTATTTATAGTTCAGTCTATTTTGTGTTTATCGCTGAATAAACAGGTCAGTGTCTCTCTACCAACCACTGTGTGTTATTCACACTCCCCTAATTCAGCTGCCTAGTTGTTATCAGAGTAAATCCCTGTTCAACATGAGTCTGACAACTAAGTAAGTACATAAATAACTAAATAACTATCACATGCTCTGATAGGCCGGGATCGGGATCTGGATCGGAAGTGAAAAAAGATGGATCAGGACTAGTGGTGAGTGTCACATAGGAGACGGAGGTTCGATTCCCCCATGGGGGGGACAACATATATAATATATATAAATTACTATAATTTACTTTGTAAGTGACTTTGGATAAAAGCTAAACGTCTAAACATAAATAAACGTGCACACAGATCTCACCGAGCGTGTTGATGTGCACTCCTCCGGCCTCCGGGTGGCGCCCTGCTGGGTTGGAGCTGGTTTTCTCGGCCTGTGTGGGGGGGGCCACAGTGGGGGGGGCCCCGTGGGCCCCGGCGGGGGGGGGCCCGCTCGTCCTCGTCCTCGCTGCTGGAGCTCTCCCCGCTGCTGGAGGAGGAGCTGTTGGAGTCGGAGGAGCTGTCCCCGCTGCTGCTCATCTGGTCCATGACACGCGCCTCCGCCATCAGCTCTAAAGGGGGGGAACAGGAGGTGAGCCGGGGACAAAGAACAAGGGCCAGAGGTGAGGCGGGGACAGGGAGGGGCCGGGGCCAGAGGTCAGGGGTCAGAGGCCAGAACATAGGGGCTAAAGGCCGGTGGCCAGAGGTTAGGGCCCAGGGGTCAGAGGTCAGAGGAGCCCAGGGGCCAGAGCAGGGCCGGAGGAAAGGGGCCAGAACACAGGGGCCAAAGGCCAGAGGAAAGGGGCTAGAGCACAGGGGCCAAAGGCCGGAGGCCAGAGGTTAGGGCCCAGGGGCCGGAGCAGGGCCAGAGAAGGGCCATGGACCAGAAGCTAGAGGCCCGAGGCTCCGCCAGAGGCCAGGGGCGGGAAGTCAGAGGGAGTCAGGGGCCAGAGGCCAGAACACAGGGGCCAAAAGCCGGAGGACAGGGGCCCGAGGCCCCGCCAGAGGCCAGGGACCAAAGGACAGAGGCCAGAGACCAAAGGACAGAGGACAGGGACTAGGAGGAAAGGGGCCAGAGGCAGGAACAAAGGGGCCAAAGGCCAGAGGCCCGAAGCCCCGCCAGAGGCCAGGGGCCAGGAAGACAGGGGCCGGAGGCCAGAGGACAGGGGCCAAGGACCGGAGGTTAGAGGCCGGAGGCCAGGGGCCAGAAGCCCTGCCAGAAGCCGGGGGCCATGTATATATGTATATGCCGCTGTTTTATTTATGGAGCCAGTAACAAAAATCATTTCCCTCTGGGATATTAAAGTATTTCTGATTCTGACCTCTCTCGATGTCGTCCATGGCGTTGACCGGAGACGCCTTCTCTTTGGGGGGGGGGCTCTTGGAGCTGGTGGACGTCTTGCTGCTGCTGCTGCTGTTGCTCTTCATCTGCTGACTCAGGCGGCTGGTCTGCTGCTCCAGGCGGGACTGAATCTTACTGCTGCCCTCAGCCCTGAAACAAAGCGACAAGGAAATGTACTTTTTTTTTAGACTTTTATCCTCTCTGAAAATATTGGTCACAGAATCTGGTCTGACATGATTCAGCCCACCTGGTCTTCTTCACAGCTATGTTACTGTTGAGTTTTTCCAGTCTGTACTCTCCTGTGTCATGGTTCACAATCAGGATGCACTCCTTCATGTAAGGCCTCTTGGATCCCTTGAAGACTGTCACAGGAGCACTTGATCCCTACAAATAATTATGGCACAAATAGGAGAGATGTCCATTCATATATTTGACTGTGAACTTGAGAACCTTTTCTGATCTAAAGCCTTTGACAAGACATTGAGAAATAATCCTGCAATCAAGGTATAAGTGTATAAAATTTCATTCAAAGTAACTAAATCGTAATATTAATGCAAATGAACAATCATAAGCAATTTAAATCAGAGCATATGTGCTTTGAAATGTGAACCACCTCCTTCACAAACACATTTAGTGTCTACAGTAACAGCCAAGATCGTCCAATAGAAAGAAGACTGTTTATTTTTTGTCATTTACTTTTTTAAATCAGAAATGTAAATATATTTTTTTAGCTGTGGAACCACAAACCTCTAAATTTGGTAAAGTAATGGTGACTTGCTCTCCTTTGCCCACTTCAAGTTCCCCCTCACATGTCGTGTCAATGGATGCTGGTTTGAAGTCATCTGAGGAGGTCAAGCAAGAAAAATTGTGTTATTTATTCATTTTCAATACATTAATTGGTCGGAATTTATGCTGTTTGTGCTTCACTAACTGAAGAATAACGGCTATTTTAGTGACGTAGTTACCAACCGGAAACGCCAGGTGGTGCTAGTGTGCTAACTATCGCTAGCTAACGTGAGCTACAGTTGAACAGCCGTTGGCCACATATGGCTTCAAAAAGTTGGGATAAACCCCAAGAAATTAATTCTAATGGAACACGAAATCGGTGAAAGAACACAACTATACAACCGACTTGAATATGGCTCTAACCGTACTTGACAAAAAGTAATCTCCGGATATTTAGCTCACAAGCTAACTAGCATGCTACTGTTAGCTACAGTTAAAAAAAAAAAAAACAGCCGTTAGCGAGTCATTCGAAACCCCACTTACATCGCACTGTATGGTAGGCACTTTTCGGGTGTTTCTCAAAGGTCTCTCCCAATTTTAAGACATGTTCTTGGTTGTCAAAGTTGGAGTAAGCTGCTCCATTCATTCTGAGAGTTTCATGGGCTGTAAACTTTGGTTTCTGCCGTGCTTTTTTAATGCGATGACCAAGTTATGACAGAAGCACGTCAAGTCCCGCCTTATGGTAAGTCCTCTATTTTGTGATTGGTTCAACAGGCTTTCGTCCTTTTCTGATTGGTTCAAAAGCCTGTCACGCAAACCCTTTCTATTGCGTAATGTCACGTATTCTGAGGCATCTCATGGACACTATTTTTAGTAATTTACTGTTAAGAAAACAGATAATAATTCATTCTAAAGATGAAAAAAACTTTAGAAAATGACAGAACTGACACAATTTTAATAAATATGTTCTAATAAGGATGTTTATTTGTAAAAACACTATGAAAACGAGGGTTTTTTTAAAGATAAAATTGCGTTGGTTAAAAAAACAACAATGAATGCTCTTAACAATCATCATTTATTTAAAAAAAACACTAAATACACAATTTGCATATTTAGTGTATTTTTCAATTTCTTATTATTGCTTCTACGCTACAATCTTTTTTCTTTAATTTCCCCATTTTATAGTTAATTTAATATCATCTTTATAGGTACTCTGTTTTGCAAACCCAGACATGGCCCTGGTCAACAGTATTTTGTTTAAAAGACCCAAAACAAACTCATGATGTCAATCATTAACCAACATGTATCAGTCAGGTTTCTTCACCCCCTGTTTTTATAACTTTATTTGTTTTATCTGTCAGACTCTTCTTTTAAAATAACTGTTCACACAAAGTTATAGTTACCGTTAGACATTTATATATCTTTATCTGATATTTTTGTTGTGATCCTAAGGTGGAAGAAACCTGAACAACGACGTTACCAGGATGCATTCGTGGCCAAACACCAGCAGATCTCAGACACTGGCTAACCACAGTAAAATGATCAGGTTTGAGCGGGCTGCAGTGAAAATAACTCCGCTTCTTTCCCTAAACTGTTAATGATTCCTAAGCCCTGAACCCCCGAGTCCCATATGCTCCGCTGCCCTCAAACATTAAGGGATCAGCCTCTAAGGCAAGTGGAATTTCAGAGCTTATGCTGGAGAATTACCACCAAATGTTGGTGGTGTTTTCAGATGATGCAGGAAAAAAAACTGGAAAAGGGCAAAGATGAGCAAATGACCCAGCTGGGACCTTTGAGCCCAATCTGACCAGTTTAAGCTCTTTACATGGACTGTTGTATTTCTGTACAAATCTGTATGTTTCACACTATTCCATCCAAAAAGAGACACAACTTTATTTAAAAAGCTCTTTTGTTGACAGAGGCCAAGTTATTGCACTCTAGTAAAATAGTTTTTTTCCAAAACAAGTCTGACATCCAGAAAGACACAAAGTCAATGCTGAGTCTTTAGTGTGTTTTGTGACAAAAGAGGGCATGAAACAAAAAAATAGGTTACAGAAAAATTGCAGAAACAGGGATTAACTGGTTGGAAATAGACAGAAAAGCTTAAAGAATGTTCACAAAATTCCAAAAATGTGATTCAGAAACAGGGACAAACTGATCATAATATAAGAAAAATAGACTAAACTAGAAAAAACCCACAGGAAAACAGCAGAAACAGGGATAAACTGATCTTAAAATAAGAAAAGAGACACAAAACTACAAAAACCTACATAAATGATGATCAGATCAGAAGTGTTGGTGTGATTTGACAATAATATTTTTTTTAAATTGAATTGACACAACATTTTCTTTATGATTTTACTGTAAATGACAAAATTGAATTATTCTATTCATCAGGGTATTAAAAATAAAGCTTTACCATAAAGCTGATGCAGCAGGCGCCTGAAATCCATCGATTAGATATGATATTTGTGTTATTAAAGCATTCAAAATGTCATGTTGGAACAAGTTTTTCATTTACAATTTGATTTATTTGTGTTTGTGACTGCTTGTAGTGTCTTATTTGATCCCATTATAGAATTCAGGCTTATTTCTGTCTTTAATTGTGTCTATCTATCTATCTATCTATCTATCTATCTATCTATCTATCTATCT